GTTGACAGCTTTGTGCCCATGCTTAGAGACGACGAGGCTCAGGAGGGCAACTGCTAGTTGGAGTGGTTTAGAGACTGGCGGAACGCAGCCCTCATCAGGGCCAGAGCTCGGAAATGCCCAGTTACTTCAAGAGGCTACTGGGAACCGTGATGTCAGGAGGCAACCCACTGGCACATGGCCCAGAGCAGGAAAAGTCTGTGAGGTTTTCTAGAACGGCCATAATGAGGACAGAGGTTGCACTTCCAGGTACAGCTTCTCCCCCTAAAGGGGGCACCCACCTGGCACCGGCAACAACATAAGAGGCTGTACTCAATCCCAGTTTCCCGTAACCCGAAACCCTTCCCCAAAGAAATCAAGGAAGAGGAACCATAAAAATTTAATTTTAATGATACAGAAATAATATATAGTACATTTCTTTCCACAGCAGCACTTCATTCATCTCTAAAAAATTTAACAAAATTAAGGCTAAATCAGAGCAATCTGATAGTAAAGGGATATTTTACGGGGTGTTATTTTTTTTAAGAATATCTTCATAAATACAGCATGTTCTTTAGACCAAAAAAAAAAAAAATGCTGAACAAGACACCAGATATGTGAAATGCAGTACAAAATGTGCTCCTTTACACCAATTTATGAATAACCACAACTTCCCTGGGAAGTTTCAAATGGGATTGAAAAAAAAAAAAAAGTGAATGTTTGTGACAGGACATTGGACTCTCTGGAGTTAAAATTCAACAGTACTATAGGCCATTTCGTAAAACAAAACCAAGGACGGTGGAGTCTCCAACATAATCTCCAGAAAAAAGCACAAAACAGGAGCGGACAGTGTTTAGGACTGCGAGAGAGAGGGGAGGCGTGTGGTCCCTGGGAGGATTACCCACCCCCGTCACTGGCCTCTGCCCTCCCCAACCCTCCCCCCAGCATCTGTGAGCAAATGAGAGACTCTGACATGTGAGCAAATGAACATGGTCCAACCTGAGGGTCAGGAAATCAAGCTGGGCTCCAGTGACCGCCCACAAACGCCGGCGTTGACCAGCATCGGGGAGAAGGAATGGCTCCTTCCCCACCGCATCTCCTTCCCCTGCCTTCCACCACGTTTGCTGGCTGGCTGTTCAGCACTGCTCCCTGACTCAAGAGAGACCCTGCCGCTGCCTCAGGATGTACAGTAAGATGAAGCATCCTTTCTTCTCTTTTCTCTCCTGAGAGACTTTTTGAAGGAGCACAGGCAAGTGCAAGGGAAATCCCCTGCAGGGAGCCTCGCCCTAGACAAGCCTAGTCTCTGACAAGTGACAAGGACCGCAGGAGGCACACAGAGACCAGGCCTTGCCTTCTCGTGGGGCCCCATGCACCACATGGGCTTGGAAGGGGTTACCTTCCGTCATCCTCCAGCCTCCACCCTCCCGTGGGCACGCTGGTTTCCATTTGAATACGCTCTCCTCCTCCACGCCCCCAGCATGCCTTGGGGGACTCAAGTATTATTTTCATTGATGGGGAACCGTGGGTGTGCTGTTAACATCACTAACTCCCAGGGAAGGAGATCTTATTTTTAATTTGAAACATTATACTCCACCTACTTTAACACGGACATTTTGCTTCATGATAAGAGGACTTTTACCCCAGACAAAAAATCTTTTCATATGACGTTCAAATTTTCATCAAGTCGCAGATAGTACGAAATAATGTTTTAATTTTGCACAAGAGTTTTGTTTTTCCATTTCTTTGGTACACACAGAGAGTCTCAGTTTCCCCTAAAGAAATAAAATGGAAGACAAACGTCCAGGTAAATAATATCAAATATCCCCTTAAGATGTGTGTGTGTTCCAAAGACTGCTAACACCTCTAGGAAACAGTAGGTTGAGGTATATATATACTCAAATGTATTTCTTATATAAAATCATACGTAAACACAAGTAAACAATGTGATAAACATCTAATTACCCACATTTATGTAAAATAATGAATGCCATAACATTACACAACCACACAGCCACATAAAAGCTATTTTTGAGATCTTTTAGCTCAGTAGTTTTCAAATCTGGCTGGTCATCGGGCTCACCTGGTGGAGCCTTTTACTCCAAGCCCCCCTAGACGCCACTCCTGAAGAGTCCGATCCAGCGGGTGGGGCCTGGGACCCAGAAGTTTGTATTTTTTTCCATAAAATGTGATAGTCCAACCCCCTTGTTATACAGAGGACACGAAGGTCCAAAGTAGAGAAGCAGTCATCTAAGGCTAACAGAGCAAGAGCCAGAGAAAGGGGTGGACCCGGATCATTTCTTTTTCTGTTACTGAGTCCCAGACCTGGTGTCCTTACACTGAAGCAACCAGGAGTAGGAAGGAACCTTGTGGTCAGAAGTAGGCGCTAAGCTGTTCGAAGGCAGGGATGTTGTCTCCTATCCCTTCTGGCACAGTTCTCAGTAATAAACGTCCACTAAGTACTCACTGGCAGGCAGCTGCTTAGCTAAGGCCTAATGCTGTATTCTCGGCTCACCTCTCTGTCTCCGACTGGCCGAGCAGGTGCAGCTTAATCTAGTTGGCTGGGGGAGTAAAGCCGGAACTTAAGAAGACACCAAGTTCAAACAACAGGACTCGACATGACGATACAAGTTGCATAAGATTAATTACTATGCCTTTCTCTTGTTACTGAATTATGGGTTAGGTGAAAAAATAAATGAATCCAAGGGACAGAAAGAAGCCATTCACCTACAATGCTTTGGCAAATATGAATTACAAAAATCCTAAACTATTCTAAGGAGGTCATCCTTAGCAATTCTAACAACTATATGTCACTAACTTCTGTTACTGTTTCTCTTGGCTTTCCATGAGTTTTCTCAGTCTCACAAAACATTCTTCCAGGGATGGAGTCAAACTGTAACTCCTTTATAAAGCTGCTTGTGAGGGACAAACACACTTAGCTTCTACCTCACAACAGGGTTCCTCTCCCTCCCCCCTCCCTCCATCTCCCTCTCTTCCCCCTTAAGCCTGCAGCACATGCGCGTGCGCGCGCACACACACCACACACACACTTACAAGTGTGAATTTAGTTGGGAGGTGGGCGAAAAGGACTTGTTACATTTTCTATTTGTAGCTATGAAGCATAAACCATGTTATAAATAATTCTACTCTATTGCCATCTAGATTTTAGATAGGATTTGGAAAAAGGGATAACCAAAACATTTTAGAAGCCAATAGGAAAATATTAAAGGAAATTTAAGGCTAAAAATTAAATAAATCACCAGGTACATGAGCCACCGGTGCCATACAGGTGCCAGTCCTGAGAGTGCCCAGTTGCCACATGGGCTCTGCTGAGACAGGGATGAGGAGGGGACCACCCAGAAGGACCATCCAGGGCGAGGGGAAGAGCCTCACCCCTCCACAGAGAACACCACGCCCGGCCCTGGCTTCCCCTTACTGAGTGCTCCCTCCCCCAGGTAACAATGAAAGGACATAAGGTTCCACTTGAAGGAGATCTTAGAAATCATTAAAAGATGCGGCCCCCTCCCCCAGGAAAGAGACTCCACATCCTGGGGTAAAACCCCGTGCATGCATCCAGATGAGTCTTCTTCAAGCCTTCTGCCACAAGAGACTGGGCAGGACAGACCTTCTTGAATGTGTGTTTTGTTTCAAAGAAAAGGAACTTTCTCTTTTTTAACTGTTAAATCCATTCTTACCTAGACAGAGATTCCTGCTCATTCCTCCAGATAATTTTTTAAAAATCACATTTATAAGCTCATTCATCCATTTATTCACTCAACACCGCCTTACTGAGGGGTGATCGGTCTTGCAGAAGGCCAGAGCCGGAGGAGACCTCAGATATCGTGCTCCCCAGGCCCCTCCCTTGTTTCCCAAGGAGGACAGGAGTGGCGCCAGCCACATTGGCCTGGGTTCCGCACCCCCAACCCCTGACCCAGTACCCACCTCCCAGCCCCACTCAAGCATTCAGCAAAACCTCATGCAAAATTTATGTGCTTTTTCATTTCAAAAATGAAAAATTTACAAGATGAAAAAAAGGGTTTTTGTACCTTACTACAATTTATAAAGCTAATAAATATTAGCAAAATGGAATGACAGGACCAAAGGTAAACATGACTTAAAAGAAACTAGCTGCGGGGTTTGTAAAGACTCGACTCTACTTTCATTTGACACTAAATGTTTTAGGAAGTCATATGCTATATACACATGACAACTCTTCTGTCTTTCTGCGTGGTTAGGAAGTCTTTCCAGAAGGACAACAATACCACAAAGGACACTCAGAGAAAACACAGACCACAGCACGTTCCGTGGCACGGACGTTTACAACCTGCAGTTCTAGTCTACAACATCCACTTGTGCTCCAGACACGTGCTGTGGACATGAGCTAAGAACACATCCATGTTCTACGTATTTCACCAGGGGGACGACGAAGCTGCCGCAAGCATTTCAGTCACGTATCGGACCCGTAACTGCCATGACCTCCCGCAAAATCAAGCCGGATTCAGTGAGCGGACTGGCCGACCTTGCTTATGTTCTGGACAGTCCTCCTCACAACAGGAGAGGTTTAGAAAGCCAATACATCTCTTCAGGGAGATTTTCATGAGTTTTCCAGATTCAATTTTATTTTCTGATGAGCAATATATTTGTGTAGAAATCTAGTTATCACCCCGACCCTTTCATAAAATTCACTGTGCCCTGTTCATAAAATAGTCAGAGAGCCTTAACAACAACCAAACAACATCGACAACAACAACCAAACTTCTCAGCTGACAGTTACTGGTGTGAATGAAGAGCTTCAACTGCTATATATTCAAATCCCCCAGGAAAATTACATCAAAAAATAGACGTTTTATGACAAAAATCACTGAGATGCCTCAAAACCAGAACAAATAGAAAACACCACCATTAAAGGGATGGAAGTACTCTTCTGGCCACTATGGCAGAGACACAGGAGCTCAGCGGGGTGGGTGCATGCGGGACTCAGCATTATATAAGAGAGAATTAACAAATCAAACTCAGCACAATTATCATAACTGGTTTGAAAGCAGACTCTGAATAAAGCCAACATATTTCTTCCTCAAGGCAACCAATAGCTAAAAGGAAAAATGATTTCATATCCTTGGTCCATAAAGAAGACACATTTATTTACATCCTCAATGGACTAAAAGAGGTTTTAAACTGTCACAATTAAAATTTTATGCTTCCAAAAATATCGTAGGATCGATGCACTTAACTTAAAGCTTCAGGTGTTAATAACTTCATTTAGACTTTTTAAAAAACCAACACAAACATACTTTCTAGAGTGCAAAATGCTTCTTATTAAATACTTCGGTAACACAAAAGCAATGGGTTTTTTTAAACACAGGACTCCTTTTCGGCAGGATCACCACCACAAAGACATCCATTGCCGGCAATGGACGCGGAACAAAACCGGCAGCTCGGGGCAAATGAGAGCGGACCACCGCTCCTCCGGCCGCCGCCCCTGCCCAGATGCCCCATTACTTGTACAGACTCATGGTCGGGCTCTGGTACATGCACATGTACGCGTCACAGAGAAGTCTTCGTGCGCAGCCTTGGATCCTTCTGGAGTCCAGGGAGTGCAGGTCCTCGGGAGACATTTTCAGGTACTCCCCCACTTCTGGGCACGGGGTGACTTGAGGAATGTTGAAGCCGTTCTGGCCACCTGAGGAAAAGAGTTAGAACCCTATTTAGGGCAGGCGAGTTCTAAGCCCCTTGGCCGCCCTGACCTACCAAAGTGATTTTACAACTCTAAATTTAGCGGCGGCTGCCTTCCAAGATCTGAAAGACCGTATTTTGCTTCTGATTCCTAGAAGTTCAAGGGTCCTTTTAAGTCTTAGTATTCTCACTTCTTGGTTTCTCAAAGGATCCTGGGGCCAATGGAATAAAATTAGTAAAAGGAAGCATATCCTGAGTGAAGTCCAAAACCTATTTTATCGGCTTCTCTGCAATTAGTGAGGGAATAGCGTTCCATATACGTAATCACACAACAACCAACTCCTCACGTCCTGTGTCCCTTCCCAGACAGAAAGACCTGGAACACTCCACCATGAGATCATCAGGTTTAGAGCACATCTAGCAAAATGAATGATATTTCACTTCCCTAAATTTTAAATACGTATTTGTGCCAGGCTCGCAAGGCTTTGTTTCACACATCATCAGACTGAAGGACGATGCTGGGGTGGTTTTAGGGGCTCCCAGAAAGGCTCTCCCGGCCCGGCCTCCCAAAGGCTTTTCCAAATGTCCGACCTCCGGATGCTTTCCAGCTACGTGAGAGCCCCTGTTCCTGCACACGCACTCGTTAGGTGCTTGTTAAATTATGCTGAAGCGTCCTTGAACACGGCCCAGAAGAGGCAGCACACTCCCCATTTCGGGAAGAAACATTACATGCAGAATAGGCTTATTTTTCCAAAGAAGAAATTAATTTCTATTCTTTGCTTCATCATTTAGAAGACAACACGGCGACTATGGCAGGTACGGACAAGGAGAGGAGCCCAAGAGTAAAAGGAGACGGAAGCTGAAAGGAAAACCTCTCAGCACTAAAATAAGAAGTTTAGGATTCTTCCTTTAATAATAACCACATGTGTGTCAAAATATCACAATGCGATTATTCCTCAATTCAGTGACAGGGTCACATATGCATTTCAAGATAGAAAGACTCCGGCACCAACATACTCCTGAGAGGCTTTCCACAGACACTATTCTATTACTCAGAACAGACTATACTCTATGAACTCTATCCCACTACAAACTAAAACGGTGCCACATGTAGAAGAGAAGTTCTTACAATACCATCCTGGGGGCACCTGGGTGGCTCAGTCGGTTAAGCATCTGCCTTCAGCTCAGGTCATGGTCCCAGGTCCTGAGATCGAGCCCTGGGTCAGGTTCCCTGCTCAGCGGGCAGTCTGCTTCCCTCTTTCCCCCTGCCCCCCCCCTCACTGGTGCTCTCCCTTTCTCTCTCTTCTTTTATCTCCCAAATAAGTAAGTAAGATCTTAAAAAGTAAATAAATAGAAATAAAATAAAATACCATCCCGATCAGCCATGCTGTCAAAGAAGAGCCAGGCCGAGTCGTCCTTCCCGTACTTCACAAAGGCGACATAGTGGCTCGTCTCTATGCAGAGAACAGCAAACAATTCCATCTTCTGGCAGGGGATGCAGCCGTGCCTCCAGTCCCAGTCAGGTAAATCTTTGGGAAGTGACACCGGGTTATATTTGTGGTTTAGTCTCTTGGGGTGCAGGTGGACCTGAGATGGAACATGAAGAGAATGTCACTCGTGAGCCAGACTCAGTGTCTCCAGCAGATGGGCCCCACCTCCTCTAACCGAACTCAACCCTATAAACAGCAACAGAGTACTTCTCAACAGCCCCCCGGGGAATCAGAAGACACATGAGCCACACCTCTTGATTGTGAATTCGAGTTAATCGTGAAAACTCTCCAAAACCTGAAATGTTTCCCACTTCCTATTTAAGGAGAGAACCTCCATTCAGGGACGTCAAACTTACTTGAGTGTTGCAGGTTTTACAGAACTGCTTGATGTTTCCGGCGGAGATGTCAGGGTCGTCGTAACACTCTCTACACTCATACATGGCGAGCCCCCCGCATATCCGGCACTGCCTGGGGGCTGAAATGGCAGGGGTGGGAGAGAGGTTACGGGGCCTCTAAACATGCATTCTTCCATTAAAAAAATTAAAAGGAAAAGGTAAGCTTCATTGAGGACTTAGACTCAACAAGTCCACCCCTGTCTGTCCCCATAAATGTTATGCTGTATTTCCATGGACTCGGGATATCTTTAAAAGACATTTTCTATGATCAAGTGACAGCTGGTTTTTTGTTTTGTTTTGTTTTATTTTTTAAGATTTATTTGAGAGAGAGAGTGTGCAACTGAGAGAGAGCAGGGACAGAGACAGAGAGAAGGAAAAGCAGGCTTCCCACTGAGCAGGAAGCCTGATTCGGGGCTTAGGGCTCAGTCCCAGGACCCTGGGATCATGACCTGCACTGAAGGCAGACACTTAACCAAGTGAGCCACCCAGGTGCTCAATTGTTTAAAAACAGTGACAAGTGACAGTTTTTTAAAAACACTGTATTCTAGAATGTTTTCACACAATTATGAATTGTGTGAAAACATCTGATGAGAATTCAAAGAATCAAAAAAACATAAAGAAGAAAACTGTAAGCAACTACAATTTCAGTTAGCAAGAGATAACCACTGTCACAACACTGTGAATTTTCTCCAGTAATTTTATATCTGCAGATTTATGTAACCCTGTGTGTGTGTGTGTGCGTGTGCGTGGGGGGAGGGTCCTCTTATAGAAAGGACCAACCTCTCTTTTCACTTAATATTATGTCATAACTACCTTCGTGCTGTCTGGTCTTCACAAACATGAAGTTTAACAGCAGTGGTTTCACTGCATAGATACACCATAATTCATTTAACTACTCTTCTCTCAAATACCTTGTTCCTAATTTCTTCATCATGTGACAATAAATACATTTGCATATAGAATATTGACTTGCATCTCTGATTATTTTCTTGGAACACCTAGAACTGGAAGTACTAGGTTAGTATTTCTAGGCTCTTCAGATATTGAATTGCCTCTTAGAAGAACCGCATCCTGTTAGACTCTGACTCATAATTAATGAGACTGGCCTATTTGCGAAAAATAAAACAAACTAAAAAATCTTATACTTACTGTCCTCAAGTAAATCTGTTATATTTAACTCCAGAGAAGGAAAAATTTTTTTAAACAGTTTAAAATCTTTTCCAAATCGAGGCATCTGAATAATCAGACATGATGGTGCCTAAAAACAAGATAAACGTATTTTTAGAATCGAAGTGCTTAAAAAAAATTTCCCTATGAAACCAAAGCAGTCCTGGTCATCATGCCAAGTAGTGGTTCTGCCATAACACGGATGGCCTGTACACGGGATCCGAACATGAATGCGATGGCCAGAGCACCACTGAGCCACAAGTTCTCAAGTGGTCCAGGATCCATTCCATGGACACCCAGGGGTCGGGCAGGTCAACAACTCTGGGGCTCTAACAATATGATGACATTCTAGAGTAACACTCCACTGTGGGTTTACATTTAAAATAAACATTTTAGAATAATTGTTTTGGCAAGTATAATAAAGAAACTGTGGTCACCCAAGGACACCATTCCTTCTATTTCAACAAATAACTGTAGCCGTTAAAAGCCTTACCAGAACATTCTTTCAGAAATAAATTCAATAAAAATAAACCACAAGCATGTACCACTAAGATCATGAAGACACAGGAAACAATAAAAGAAAAATAATTTCTATCACTTGTTCACTAACAAACTAAAATAACAAAATAAGTGAATTTATTTTGTCTCTTGTTGAAGGAAAAGTAAACATTCTTTTTTGATGTTTGGCTAATATGCTTAGGTAAAATATTAAACTGGGTAAAATGACAGTTTAAAAAAAAAACACAATTCTTCTTTTCCCTCAAAAGCTACTCAAAATTTTTCAAGTTACAAATTAACTTTATATTTTCTTTGGCACCAAAAATCCAGAAAGTCCAATCTTAATTCTAAGGCATTTTCTACAAGGACACAACTGAAACACTGAACTTTTTTTTTTAATTTGTGTTTTGTTAATAGTTACTGTGTTCTCAGTGGGGTAAAATTAACAGTTATTAAATCTAGTAGTAGTTTCAAGATTACTAAGCAATGTCCCATAAAATATAATATCACTAACCTCTGCAAATTTCAGGTTACTGTTGATAAAAGACCATTCTAATAATTGCTGAATTGTAGGAACTCCAACTTTCTCATTTTTTTCCATAAAAATTTGATAGAAGTAACAATCTTGTACTTTTTGACCTGCTGATCTAAAAACATGCAGAAAGAAACATATGACTTCTCTACAAAATGCTTCAGTCAGAACATGAAGCTGTCCCAGCTGTGTTTGAGGACAGAAAATCCTATGACATTGATGGTGTCTCCAGGTCATGCGAACAACAGGTGAAAGACAATAATACAGATTAATTAATTACATGTAAATTGCAAAAAAACCGCAAAAATGAGTTCTTATCTTAGTTTTCATATCCAAAAGTCCCCTTAGTGGTGAGCAGAAAAATAAAGGAATAAATTTGCAGCGAGAAGCACTGTCTGAACAATAATAACCAGAAGCTAAAATTGCTTGGTTCAACTTAACTGTCCAAATTTTAAAAGTATTTTTAATCAACAACCCATTAAACTATTGATGAACTGTTCAAAATCTAAAAAGCATTTAGTGCTTGAAACAGGAAAATAAATTCTTATGTCTCTGAATGGGACAGACCCAATGTTTCACTTCTAAAATGAAGGCCCTGAGTTCTATTAAAGAATAGTCATTGCTTCCTGGCAACTTAAAGCAGAGCTAGGTGTAAAAACCTGGTGTCCTATCAACCACTGACTATTCTTTCCATGAAAGCACGCTGTCTCTTTAGACCGTCACTCATTTATTCAACAAATACCAAGTAAGCTTCTACTACACGCCCGTCACAGTGTTACCAATTTTTTCACATTGTCCTTTTAAATATTTCACAACAGGGGTGCCTGGGGTGGCTTGGTCTGTTGGGAGTCCAACTCTTGATTTCGACTCCGAGTCATGGTCTCAGGGTTGAGAGATCAAGCCCCACGTCGGGATCAGCACTCAGTGTGGAGTCTAGTTGAGATCTCGCTCCCTCTCCCTGGCCCTTCCCCTGCTTGCACATGCGCTCTCTCTCCTCTTTAAATAAATAAAAAATTAACTAACTAACTAATTACTTTACTACAGATTGTCATTAATCTTTAAAAAACTAACTCTACCAAAAGGACTGATAATCTTTACTATTTACCTTTTCAGCAGAGTTTCTGGGTATACAATCAACCTATTTACAGATAGATTTCAAGATTTTTATAGAAATTTATTAACATAGTGTTCGTAATGGAACAGCTGTTCAGAGATCAACCTCCAGAAGCCCTCAGCTTTCCAAAGCAACTTATCTCCTGAAATAAACAAAACTTACTTGTTAACAAAGCCAAGAGATTCACGAAAACCCACAACAAATAAAAACAAATGATAACCAAAAAACCTGAAGGTTATGCTAGATCAGTATTTTACTTGGTTGTTGATGACTGTAAAAGACCAGCATTCTTCTGTGAAAGCCAGAAGCATAAAAAAAAAAAAAATGCAATAGGTAAAAGGGAAAAAAAAAAAATAGGACAGGAAACTAAGAAAGCATAAAGTGGTAGAGGTCAGAAGCTGCAACAGTTAGAAATAATAATGATGAGGGGGAAGAGGAATTGTGGCTGACGGGAACCCAGGAGGCAGACATCGAGAGAAGGGAGCCAGAAATGAGAAGATGACCAACAGCTTTGCGATACCCAGGCAGACAGATTAGGAGCCTGGTTGGGATGTGGGGGAGAAAAAAAAAACCAAGCACCTAAATCTCATTACCACCGTTTTTAGAAAGCTAAAACCCTGGAGTAATTAGCAAGCCATACACAAGAATTACAACAAAGCTGGTGGGATGGTACAAAACTACAATTTAGATTGCTGTTTTCCACTAGGAAAATCTAAAAGCAAAAGGGTACAAATGCTGCATTGACCTTAAAAGAAAACATATTATCTATGGAGGAGATAAAAACATTCATGGGACTGTATGCTAATTGGTCTGTCTACCTTCATGACACAGACCTTCACGGGTAGCCACTAAAATTCTTTACCGATTCTGCACCATCTAGCACTGTGGGATAGAACATGGAGGCCATGTTCTACAATGAGAGGCATTCAGTAACACTGCCTGCACCTTTGCTTCTTGTTGCTGATTTTTTTTCTTGGAATTTTTCTTTCTTTGCCTCCGTGTACTATCCTCTTACCAGTGGCTATGACTTCAGTTTCACCTTCTCTTCAACACCCCACAGGAGTCATCATTACTACTGTTATTGGTTTTTTAATATGAAGACTTAATTAACCTACATTTCTGACCTTAATTCTTCGTTGTTTCTAGAGACTGCTCCTTTGTTCTAAATGCAGCTTTGTCTTTCTAAAGTACAGTCTGTAGTAAGTGTCTGAGTTAGGTGATTTAGTCCTGGTTCTTCCTGCTCAGGAATCCTGTGCACCTTTCTTCTTAGAACTTAAGTCTGCCAAAAATTCTGGAAATTTTTCAGCTATCATCTATCAAAGTATTGCTTCTTCCCCATTCTCTCTAATGTCTCCTAGAACTGCATTTAGAATCTGTCTTCCACATCTCTTACCCTCTCTTGTTTTCCAACTTCTTTCCCTTGGGGCTACATTCCAGGTACTTTCCTCAGATCTACCTTCCAAACGAGCAGTTCTCTCTTCAGCTGTACATACTGCATCCAATGACACACCCCCTCCCAGCCAGAAAGCATATATACAGACATAGACACTTTTAAACTCTATTGCTGTGAATTCTATTTTCGTTTATTTGATTTCGTTTGTTATCAAATCCGCATTTATCCTCCCAGGTGGCTACATCCTTCGTCTCGTCAGTCCTATAAGACTTCTGAGCAGTCTCTCAGACTGTTCCACTATTTCGGAGTTTACCATACTCCTCTTCCTAGTTGTTACATCAGCAGACTCTCCCTCAGAAAGAAAGCTCGTGCAGATAAAGAATGACACTTGGGAAAGAAAAGCTAATGTCCAAAGTATCTTTTTATATCTTCTTATACTCTTTAAACGAGTGCCTCCCCACACAAAGAGGCCGCTGAAAGGGGAGGGGAGCAGTGACCCCTCTGAGGGGTGGCGGAACTTCCCAGGACCCTCTCCAAACCCGTCAAGACCTTCAAGCACCGAGATGCACTCCTACATGTATCCAGCCCTCCTCACCCCCTGAGATTCGCAGCTGTTTTCATCCTTGTTATTACTGAGAGTCTATGACATTCTCAAAGGGTGTTGGGCTACAGGGGGGAAAAAAAAGACAATTGTTTTCATCATCTGAAATTTAACTCTTCCAGAGGAAAACAAAAATGACTTTTTTCTCCCAAATAGCCTGTGACATTTCCCACATCATATATTAAACACAGCTTTCTTTCCTCATTTGTGTCTGAAAGCTGACTTATACTGAGATTCTATTTTTGAGCTTCCTATTCAGGTCTATTGGTCTACTTTTATATAGTATCACACTGTTTAATGTCTATTGCTTTGCCTTATAGCTTATAATAGAACTCTTTTTAAAAAAGAAACTTTCAAACTTCAGTGTTTTCACCCATTTCATCCTGTAAAGAACTCTAAAATCACTTTACTGAGTTCAAAAAAAAGTTAAGATTCTGTTTAGGTACAAATGACTCTGTGAAAAAACAACATCTCTAAGTAATTTACTATTCCTACATGGAACACAATCTTTCTCACTAATTAATCAAATCACCTTTGAGCTCTGGGCAAGTCTTTGAAAAAACCCATCTCAATAAAATTGATTTCTTGGCATTTTAAACTTCCATGAAGTATGAAAGCATCCCTTTTTCATATTTGCTAGAAGGTATACAGAAATGCTATTGATTTCTCCATGATTATTGTCTACATAGTCAAATTACAAATTCTTATGTTAATTCCAGTAGTTTCTGAACAATTCTCTAGGATTTTCTAAATCTACATATAGCTATTACCATCTTTGGATAGAGAATAGATACGTATTCTTGACGTTTATGCATTATGTCTTCTTTCATTAATTAAAACTTCCAAACAATAACAATACCAAACTGTAATTGTGGCACTATCCTTCTTTCCCTTCCTCCTATCCACTGGCATCAAACAATATCACTTACAACACAAAGACGTGTAAGAGTATTTGTCTGTGACCAGCTATTAGGAAGTAAAGAGTAAATCAGCAAGATTTTCAACAGAGGAACCCAAGCTAAACTATAAAACGGTCCAGCATTTAGACTGCGAACGTTAAACCATCTGGAAAATTCATCCATTTAGACTATCTCGCTAACAACTTCAGTACATTAGATTAGAGACTTTCATTCAAGATGGAGGAGGAAAAAAAGGCTAAGTCACAAAACTGGGAACAAGAGAGCTAACATGAGGCTAAACTAATTCTCTGAGGACAGATCATCAAAAACAGCATTCTCATGGTATTTGACTGGGCTAGAATAAGATTATCTTTCTCTCCCTCTTTTTTTTTTTTTTTTTAAGATTAATCTATCCACTTTAGAGAGAGAGAGAAAGAGAGTAAGCTGAGCAGGGGCGGTGGGGGGGCGCAGATGGCGATAATCTCAGGCAGACTCCCCATTTCCCCACTGAGTGCAGAGCCAGACACCCGGGCTCCATCCCAGAACCCTGAGAGCAACCCCTGAGCTGAAATCAAGAACTGGACGTTCAACTGACTGAGCCACACATGCACTCCTAGAATAAGCTTCTCTTAGAATCTTAATTTCCCTTAGAATCTTTCATTAATTAAATTACAAAAATATTTATGTACAGTTTTGTAAGAAAATGATTTGTAATAATACTGATTACCAGGGTTAAAATTAAAAGCACAAATTTACACTGGATACACTCTTCCAGTTAAGTATGATACTATGGGGAGGACAATAATTAAATTAATTAATTACATAATTAAATAGTTAAATTAATTTGTATTGTAGGAACCTAGCATATTAAGATTCCTAAACAAATACAATATTACATAATCACTAAAGAAATCACTTCTATGGAATGACGGCAGAGAAAATGAAGATCGCCTATTTTCCAATGCTTCTGTAACAATTTAAAAGTTACCTTATTTTTAACAATGGCTCTACCCTTAAAATATGATGAAACAGGATATTCAAGAATTCTTCAGGATCTAGGAGAAAATAAAAAAAAAGTCACAGACAAAATTTTTAAATCATTCCATTTTTATTTATAATAATTATATTCTGATTCTAAATTCACTTTCATAATTGATACTTTTTCAATTAAAAGCATATCTCAAGTTTTCCTCCCTAATGAAAACTATAAAGGATATTTAATAGTTATGACAATGTAGGACAGCCCAATTTTGTTATTATAAACTTTACTGTGTATGAAAAGGTATAATAATTTGTATAATGAAATAATTTTAATTTCTTCTGGGGCTAAGTAGAATAAAACTGGAAATATAATCTTGTTTTTTCCTGTTATTTGAATGACTACCAAGTCTCTAAACATCATAGCTGGTTACAATATGTAGCTAACACGTTCAGTCAGGAGCTGAATCTCTGAGTAAATCCATTAGCGAAGAATGGATTAAAACATGGTCTCTGACCATAAACCTAATTTTAGTTTGCTGTGTTAACACCCTTTATAACAAGGAAAGCTAACTGGAAAAATAGGAATGAACCCTACGCAACTCTTCACCCCTAAAGGGAAACAATGACGAATACCATTGCTGGAAGGAAAGACAAAAACTATTTATGGATTCAATGTACTACAACTAGACAGCTTCTCAAAGGGGGTCATTTTCCCATCCATCGCTCACTTTTAGAAGAGATAGAGCATTTACAAAAAGGGGGCAAAACTGTCCATTACACAGAAACTAATATTACACTGCATGTTAACTAACTGGAACTTAAGTAAAAACTTTAAAAAAAGAACTTTAAAAAAATTGTACATCACACAGAAAGGAATTTTTAGTTTAAAATAAAATCCCCAAAACCACATAGACACACATTTCCGCCAATAATTTAGTCTATGCTCTCAAGTCACTTTTATTGCATATCCTATAAATTAAGAGCCACCTTTTTCTTCGGAGGTAAATCCTGATGCAGCCTCAACTTTTTCAAGTATTTTCCTCAGTTTCATAATCTTTGTTGCACACACATATCCGTACCTATATTAGTAAAAAACAATTAATACTGGCATATATATTAAACTAGTATAACCTATTTTGATAATCACACAGTTCTTATATAATTTCAATATGTCATAGATAAACTCTTAGGCTAGACAATTATTCTCAAAATCCCAGTTATAGGCTGCTTCTTGAGGTTTGTAAATTAAAAATCTAGCACCAGAATAACCCCAGACTAAATTACCATGCCTGACTAGCAGCGGTCATATACTAATCTAAGAAAAAGCATTTTTAAATTACGATGACTGGTCTTCTGATTCTATTTGCTTAAAGAAATTAAAGCATTTACTTAAAAAAAAAAACCAACTTTGAGAGACAGTCCTTTTAATGCCAGACACTGAAAAAGCTGCCAAAGGGAATGGTAAAGGGCATTGATCAGAAACTGAAAATTGAAAACATGCGGTCAAGGAGGTCATCATGTGCATGATACGGTCTCTCATCTTTATCTGAATACAGGACACGTTCAGTACACTCCACGGGGATCCCTGACAAAATTCTAATGCTAAAAATGCCTTTGGAAGAAAGCTGAGAGGCCAGCACAAGTTTAACAAGAGCAAGTCAAAACTAGCTGATCGAATATCCATTTTGTATATTGACAATTCATTCACTTGCTAATTCTCTGTAACCAACGTACCCTGAGCATCCACCACTTCACACAGTAATCTAACCTGTGAGCCACTGGGAATATAAAAATGAATAAGGTGATAAAACAGGGTCTCTGCCTTTGAGGAGCTTGAAAAGAGAAAGCAGAGGCTTCAGTACCAAATGAAACCAGTCAGCTATACTAGAGAGAGGAATGCTGCAGACACAGGGAATCTTGATCACAACAAGGCACCTGCCAAGGTCCTTGCTGTGGACAGGGTGACAGAGTCTGGTTAAGCATGATTCTTAACTGGCTGGATGACAGCATCCAAATAATGTCTGTTAATGGACTTAAGATGTTTGGGAAGGAAAGAAGGAAATGGTGTAGAGTTTTGGATTTGATCTGTCTTGTTCTATTATCAATTACTTGGGAGACGGAATGGACAGTAAACTTAAAAATTTGCCTCACAAAATAACTGGTGCCGAAATCAAGACTCATAATCATCTTAAAGGGTGAAAACAAGAGTCATTTTCATCATTACAGAATGTAAAGAAAAGATATAAGGAGGCAGATTTATTCGCTAATAATTTACTTTCTTAGCCATGTCATACAACACGCCACTCTGGATGCCCTTTATTATTCAATCTTCTGCATTTTGTCTCAAAATCTTAGATCAAACTATTTTTAAATTTTAATTGTTAAATAAGAAAAGGGTCCCAAGATTTAAACTAATATGAACTTTAGATAGTTTGTTCCCTATATTCCCAAGTGAATAGATATCCTTTATAGTCTAGGGCCCTAACACTTCATAGTTTAAATTTTATAATGTGACATTATCACATGTCACTACTACCATTTACGAAGTGTCTTTACTAGATGTCTCGTCACTTGGGCTTGTACCATCACAAATTGCTTCCTGTGACTAAAGAAAGACATATTTATAATTCATAAACTAAGAAATAACCAAACACAATTTTACGGGATGTGCAGGGAGGCCTAAATATATTCCTGTAACTAAGAAATGTGTTAGTAAAATACATCACATCTTTTGCTAATACAAGAATACTAAATACTAGCTACTCTGCAAATTAAAATTTTTCTTTGCTCCTTTTTTTTTTCCAGATAAAATTAAGAAGCCAGACTAGGCCAGTTGGACCAGAGAGCACGATCACTGTTAAGGTAACTGCTAGAATCAGCTATAACAGAAGATAAGAGTACCATGTACTTTGTATCAGCTTTTCTAAACCTACTGCAATTACTAAAATGACTATTCTCTACCAAAATGGTTTTGCCACGTTATGGCATACACTATGTGCTACACCTTAACCAGATTTAAGAAATTAAATAAGTAAAGGCAGGAAATGTTAAAAGGTAAAGGCAGCAAAGGGTCAATCATCATACTTCATCAAGAGAACAAATCTGCACCCATTAATTAAAAATGAAAGCAGGTATAAATTAATTACTATACCAAAAAACAGCAAATAGGACACCATCTAAAGGCAAAATAACTATAGATCTTCTACTTACATTCTCAGAGGATTAACAATTTCTGTCCTCAGGAGCTCCTGAGTTTCACTATAATATTCTACATCATTCTTTTCTTTAGGTCTAAGTAACACAGTGTCCAGAACAGAACTAAAAGCAAACAAGCTGTAAAATAAAAGGAATATTTTTCCTCATGCCATACACGTATTACAGATACTAAACAGAATACTAAAAAGATACTAAACAGATACTAAAACCATACTTCCTGGGAAACAGAGACTAAAAAGAATGTGAAGAGAAAGCACGCAAAGTCTGGAGAGCAAGGAACTCACAAATTAGTGCTTTCCATTAATACAGGTACCAGAGACACCATTAAGGTCCCCATCATTTAATCATCAGGGTCTAGAGATCCTTCTAAGTTAAAAATACCAATACTGAGAAAACAAACTATAGATTGACAGTGTTAAAGGGCAAAAACATGCCTCAAGTATATTAAGAGAACTTTTTTGTAAAAGGTTATGAAAAGGGTCCTACGCATCTGAGCCCAAGATAACAGAGGAGGAAGTTTGAAACTACTTCCCAAGGCATACACACACGTAATATATAACCCACTCCAGATATCGTACTTCTCTCCCCACACAGCCCTCTGCAGAGATAGAAGTTTCTTTTAAATGCCAAAATCAGTTGTGCCAAAAATCACTTGAGTGACTAACAGCAGTGACTTGCTGAGATCAAAGAGAAAGGAAATTTGGCTAATACAAATTTTTCTCAGGAAATCTAAAAAGTCTTGTATCAATTCTGTTGGGCTTGTTTTTGTCCACACACCTCAGAGATGTCAAGTATTCTGCCAAAAAGAATGGCCCACCACGTTAATTCTTCTCTCCACTTTTAAAATGTTAACACCCCATTGACTTTCTAACTCTTACAACTGCGGCTGTATGGAGATGGTCAGTTACACTCAACTTAACTGGCCGCATACTTGGTTCGATCTCAGTGTAAAACTCTCTAACACATTAAGTCATTCAACTTTGGAATAAACTACATATATGAGGGCAACTGTGCTTCTACTGAAAATAGTTCTTAAAAATAAATTCTCTTAATCTTCTTCAGTCACATGATTTCCCAGACACCGTCGGGGAAATCACTCACGGCATTACTTTCATAGTAATTTTTTGGATACGAGCACAAGAGCATGTTCCATAGCTTCTAAAGGGTATTACGAAGTGTCAATCTCCCTTTCTTTCCTGTTCCCCAGCCACCTAGTTTCTTTACTCAAAGGCACATAGCAGTTTCTTTCATGCACATGCAACAAGGACACGGCTTGCACACGTGTCTCTGTGCCCATGGAACTATACCCCTATTGCATTCATTAGAAACTTACCAGAATAAGGTTGAGTCTAAGTAACAAGAATTGTAATGACCCTGGATACCCTTCTTCTTTCCAATCATTATCTCTAAACCTTCTTTTTCCATTTTGGGTGGGGTATTTTCTTCCACTACTTCACTCAAGTAGCCTCCAAATGCTGCAAACATAAAAATGAAAATGGAAAGTACCCTTTTAACTCTTTCAATAGGTACTCCCATATAGCTCTTCATCGTAAAATACATTTTTGTATTCAGAGGCAAAATTTGTTTCATGACTTAAAACTAAGTAAAAGGTAGGTTTGGGTTCATTGTTCTTCAGCTTGGCTTGCAAAAATGCTATTGTCCATTTCAACCTCACTTCCTCCACCACTTAAAAAACACTTTAAAATATTAAGTACTGTATAAAAAGTAAATGCCAAGTAAAATATTTTGTTCCCCAAATATTTTATAATTTGTCTGAGATATTACATCCTCAAGTCAAAAAAGAAAACAAAAACATTTCACAGTACTGGGGCGCCTGGGTGGCTCAGTGGGTTAATGCCTCTGCCTTCGGCTCAGGTCATGGTCTCAGGGTCCTGGGATCGAGCCCCCATCAGGCTCTCTGCTCAGCAGGGAGCCTGCTTCCCCCCACCTCTCTGCCTGCCTCTGTGCCTACTTGTGATCGCTTAATGTCAAATAAATAAATAAAATCTTTAAAAAAAATTATAAAAAAAAATTTCACAGTACTACTTCAACTGTAACGAAAAATGTTTTTCATAAGCATGGCTTTCCTACTGATAGTTGCTTAACTGTCAAGATGCTTCACAACTATTATCCAAAACTGGAGAGGGACAGCATCAGGAAACTGTCACCTGTTAAGAATGATGAGGAAATCTGTCCTCTATCAATCAATCTAAAACTACTTCACATAATAATGCTGACTCCTTGGTAAGTGATACTTATTCGTCTACTTAATACTTCAAGAGAGGTCACATTTCACACCTCTGTGAAATTTCTACCTCTGTGTTTTTAAAAATTAAATGCTGGCGACCAGGGTGCCTGGGTGGCTCAGTCAGTTAAGCATCTGCCTTCGGCTCAGATCATGATCCCAGACTCCTGGGATCGAGTCCGGCATTAGGGTCCCTGCTCAGCTGGCAGTCTGCTTCTCCCTCTCCCCCTGCCTGCCACTGCCCCTGCTTGTGCTCTCTCCCTCTCTCTGTCAAATAAATACATAAATACATAAATAATAAATACATAAATACATAAATAATACATAATAATAATAAATACAAATAAATACATAAATAATAAAATCTTTTTAAAACATTTTTTAAAATGCTGGTGACAAACAGGAGGAAGAAAATAAGTCCCACTATTTTTCACCTTCCAAATCTCATTTTATTCCTGATACTTTCTTTTCAAAATTCCCCTCTTGGGACAACTGTAACCTTCTTACACACCAAGTAGCAATTTTTACTGATTTACATGCCTGATGAACACGGGCAAGAAATATATTTAAACGCTGTCACTACCCCCTACAGCCAAATGGCCTGAGATCAGAAGCAGGGTCACCCCAGACTGGTAGGTAAAGGACAGGCATTGGAATACCTAGAGAGTTGCAGCGCTCGATCTGATTGGAGACTGGCTGCAGAGACGCGAACCTAGAGTCGGGCCTGCAGCTCTTTAACTTAACAAACAGCGCCTTCTTCAGGGCACACGTGAAGTACCGGGTGCCCCTGAAGGTTCCATCCGTACAGCCCGCACATTCATCTTCCTGAAAAAGAAATGCTTCAGTATGTGTTATTCTGCACCTGACAACAGAGCACACAAGGAAGAAAGGCTGCTAAGTTGTGTTTCTGGCTCAGCCTTTCTCAGAACTCCCCCATCATGCCTGTCCTGAGAACTCCATCAGGAAAAAGGGACCAACGTAACCAGGGCTTCGGCCCACAGCTCATCATTTCAGAAACGAATTCCTTAATCCAGTGTGAAGTCCTCAATGTATTTCCTTCCAGAATGTGTGCTTAAACCTCCCCTCGTTAACTGACTAACCATTTCCACAAGCACTGAAACTAAGGAGCAGAGGTGATTTATTTTAACAACTTTCCCCTCCCCAAAAGTAGCATTCACTAGCATGCAAACAAATTTTTTAAGAAATATATTTTATAAATCAAAGTTAAATGTACTCAAATTATCCCTTCCAGATCATGAAAGGCCAAACGCTTTCCTAATCTCCAAAGGGAAGATCTTTCCCTCTATAAAGATCTCAAAAAAATCTCTAAAAATGGCAATTAATCTTAAAACCGATGATATATAAGAACTGACTGGGGGAGGGAGACCGAGGAAGAAAAGGAAAGCTGAGAGCAGACTTGCTTTCCTTACTGTATTCTGTTTAATGTAATGAGCCTAAACACATTAGTCTACAAATCTGTTTTCGTTACTTGAACGTAGATCAACTATCATCAGTAACAAGTGGGTCGGATGCTTCATGGGTGGCAAAGAAGTCAGGCGACATGGTAATAAAATTTTTCTCTCGTGACGCCTTTTTAGACAAAACATTTTGACAAAAAAAGCATCATAGGGAGAAAACTACACAGAACTCCAGACAGAGAAGAACTGCAATTTTTAAGTCAAATGAAATTACCAGTTCCAGTCCAGCTAGCACCTCGTTGAGTCCTGGCGGCTGACCAATCCAACGGATTACCCCATAGAAAGGAGGATTCTCTTTAACTTCAGCCAGAGAGCCCACTTCCAGACCATGAGAGTTCCCAGAAGTCATGGCCAAGGGTGGACTCTCCTGGACAGGTGCATTGTTTAGCTCTCCCATCACGGACTGAACTGACAGCGAGAGTGGACTGTGGCCAATACTTCCATTGGTATTGGGCATCTTTGTCAGACTGAATGGTAAAGAGTGAAATCTGTTCTCGGCGGATAATGAGTTCATAGAAGGAGGCTGCAGTGGTGGTGAAGTGTGTCCAAAGTCTGCAGACATCTCTGTAAGCGATTTTGCAGGGTCCTCAGCAACTATAAAAAATTATTCTTATTTAGAGAAATGCATTCAAGAGTATTAAATATGCCCACATCTCTGAAAATTAATGCACACGTCCAGTCCAACGGCCCATTTTGACTCTAAAAGGATTCTTGTAAGCATTACACATTTTATCTCTCCAAACAGTGTTCTAGATTTTCCTCCCACCTCCAGATTTTTCTACCTCAGTAAATGGCACCCAACTGCTCAAACCAAAAAAATCCATTATTGACTGGCATTAAATAGGTTTTACTCTTCATCCATAATATAATTAAGTTAGAAAACAGTACCAAAAAATAACAAAAAATTTAGAAAGACACTTCTAAATAACTAAAGGACCAAAAAAGAAATGATTATGTAAATTTTTAAAATAAAGAAAGAAGCAACAAATGCTTGTGGAACACAGCTAAATTAGTACTTACAAAGGAAATTTATAGAATTCATAGTTTATTTTAGGAAAAAAAGGATATTAATGAACTCAGAATTTAGGAAGTTAGAGGAACAGATTAACCTCCGAAAAAACAGTCAAGAGGAAAGAATAAACACAAAACAGAAATTAATGAAAGAGAAGACAAACATACAATAAAGAGAATCAAAATCAGATAAATTTACAAAAGTAGGAAATAATTTAAGAGAAAACAAACATACAAAAAGAGAACCAAAGCTAAAAGCTATTTCCTTAAGATAACTAATACAGATACCAAGCGGCCACTACAGATCAGAGGTGGACCTCAGGGAATGAACTTCTCAATAAACAATACTGAGATCATCAGTTATCAGAACTTTAAAAAAAATTAAATTGAACTTGTACTGCCTGATCTACACAAAAATCACTTCCGGGTAGTTTAAAGACAAATGCGAAAGGCAAGACTCTAAGCTTCTGGAAGACCATTTAGAAAAATGTTCTTTATGATTTAGGGCAGAGAGAAATTTCTTGAACATAAATATATAAGCCATAAAGGAAGAGACTGACAAATATGACATTCAAATTGAGCTTACTCATTAAAAGGCAACATAACAAGAGTGAGAATATGAGCTGAACAAGGAGAAAACACTTATAATACATATTTCTGACAAAGGATTAAAATTGGACAAAAGACTATAAATCAATACAAAAAAGACCAAAAAAAAAAAAAAACCCCGAAACAAAACAAACCTAGGAAAAAATGGACAAAGGGCTTGAAAGGCAAATCAGAAGAAGATACCCAAATTGCCAACACATCAGTGAAAAGATTTTTGCCTTGAACAGTAAGTAGATAAGAAAAAAAAAGTCAAAAGCAATATGAGATATCATTTCAAAAGTTCAAGGTCTTAGAACATTAACTATTGATCAGGATGAAGAGCAAATGATACCTTCACACAATGCTGATGGGAGCGTAAACTGGTACAACTACCCTGGGAACGGTGTGGCACGATCTAGTAAAGGAAAGATGTGCATATGACATGTCCCAGTGAATCCATTTCTAGGTATACAGTCTTGACACATGTAAGAATGTTAACAGCAGAGCTGTTAACAATAGTGGAGCTGTCAATAATAGCAAGAAAATAAAGACAATTCAAATGTCCATCGGTGGTTGACTACAGACGTACACTGTGCTATATTTAGACATTCCACAGCAATGAATGAAATGGAATTAAACACTACACAGTGATGAAAACAAATTAACTATATAATCATATACCACTCCTGCGGTGACTCTTTGGAACATAATATTGAGGGGAAATTACAGCATACGTACAGTCTGATTCCTTTATCGGAAGCTCAGAAACATGCACAACTAACGGTATGCTGTTTAGATATACAAACTTATAAGGCTATCATGAAAACCAAGAGAATGATAAACGCTAAATTAGACATGACAGGAAGCTCAGAGGAGAGTGGGAAGGGAAGGGTTCTAGGAAAAGCACCAAGGGAATTTCAAAGGTAGCGAGAATGGTTTTTTTCTTAAAGTAGTAGCGACTACATGGGTGTTCACTGTACTTCGTACCTTAGTATTCTATATACCTCACCCATTTAAGATTCTTCAGTAATGATATTTAACACAGGAATTTTTTTTAGGTTTTATTTATTTATTTGGCAGGGAGAGAACGAACAAGCAGGGTGAGCAGCAGGCAGACGGAGACGGACAAGCAGGCTCCCCATGGAATAGGGAGCCCAACATGGGGCTCGGTCCCAGGACCCCAGGATCAGGACCTGAGCCAAAGATTCACTTAATTGACTGAGCCACCCAGGTGCCCCTTAACACAGGAATTTTAAAAGTTATTCTCCTCTTTCTCAAACCCTCAAACCCTCAAGCCCAAAACCCAAATCCATAAAGCATTTGGCTCTATCTCTAAAATATATTTCAAATTCATCCTCTTCTCTTCCCTATTGTCTCCCTAATTTAAGCCACCATCATCTTTCACCCTGTAACCAGTCTCTTCCCCGGTCTGACCCTCTTCTTGTCCGTCTCCAAACTATTCACCATACAACTCTAAGAGAGACCTTTTAAGATCTAAAGATCTTCCATGATCTTCTGGCATTCCCCTATTTAAAAGCTTCCAATGGCTTTTCAGTGTTCTTAAAATAAATACAAAATTTCTCACCAAGATCTACAAGGTCCTGGATGATCTAGCTCCCACCTACCTGTCCAATTTCCTTTTTACCCCTATCTTCCTTGCTTACCATGCTGTAGCCACCCTTGAGCCACCCTGGCCTCAAGGGCTGTTTCTCACGTCAGGCCTTTCCTATCTCCTCTGCCTCAAAAGTTCTTCCCAAGCTCTTTCTCTAACAGGTTCACTCACGTCATCCAGATCTCAACCCAAATATCCTTTCCTCAAAGAGACCTCCCCACAACACTCTATGGGAGCTGGCTTCCCGCCAGACATGCTGTCATACCTTGTTCACTTCCTTCACTGCATGTATCACCATCGATTATTACCTTGTCTGTCCACATATTTACTATCTGCCATACCAACCAGACCATAAGCTCCATAAGAACAGCAATTCTGTTAGTCTTTTTTATGGATTTTCATGAGGCTTCATGGTTGAACCCACAGCACTTGGTACAGCCACTAACCCAAGAAAATACTCAACATTTAAGAAAAAAGTGAATAGGGGCACCTGGGTAGCTCAGTGGGTTAAAGCCTTTGCCTTCGGCTCAGGTCATGATCCCAGGGTCCTGGGATCGAGCCCTGCATCAGGCTCTCTACTTAGCGGGGAGCCTGCTTCCCCCTCTCTCTGCCTGCCTCTCTGCCTACTTGTGATCTCTCTGTCAAATAAATAAATAAAATCTTTTTTTTTTTAAGTGAATACATGAATCAAATGCTGTAGGGGGGAAAAAAGCTTTTTAGATATATAAGTGAAATTAATTATAGACAAGAAATGTTCTTTTACACTGAAATTACTTCTATTTTCTAATTTAAGGATGAAGGCCTACTCCACATAGATTTCCTGACTTTATATATCCTGTTGGGATCCACGTTCTTACATACACTTAGTATACAACATTAGACTATAGTCAAGAAGTTAAAAATATTCTACCACACTACAGAAACTGAGTAAGAATAAAATCATAGCATAAACTTAAAGAATTAATGTCACCTAGGTTATGACAAGCCCACGGTCTTACCAGTTTCCTTTCCTTAGAAAGAAAGCAGCTCATGGGGAAAACATTCCCAAAGCTACCAGTAACGACAGAGGGAGAGAGCGGGGCTGCACCCCAACCACCGTGGATAGTCCCCATGAGTCCCCGGGCTCGTGCAGAGGCCAGCAGGGCTGGGACTCACCACAGCACCCTGCCAGGCCCTTGCCGTCTCAGTACTCCCAAGATCTTTGAGAGAATGTCTAACTGCTAACATATGGGCCAAAACGTAACAAAAGTGGTCCATCAGGAGACAGAACCTTCCTGGAGAGGCACCACTGAAGGAAGCTTCCTGTTCTATGGCTAGGAAGGATTCTTGGGGATGAGGCCCTGTGCCTGCCTACCTCTGCAACAACCTACCCCAAGTAGAAACGAAGGCACAGAGAAGGTGAAATCAGAGAGCTCACTCAAATCATCTGCTATGAGTATCTAAGTGACTATGTTAAGTATCTAAGCCCAAGTGAGTATCATAGCCCAAGTGAGGTAGCAGCAGACTTGGACTGTTACATTTGTTTATATATAATATACATGATCCATATCATAGCTAAAAAGCCATTATAGAGTTCTTATTTTGATTTAATTTGCAAACAATTACTAAATGTACTCCATGCCAAGCCCTGTGAGAGGCACTTGGAATTCCAGTCTGGCAGAAGAGACAGGCGGCAAACAATTATGATGACACCTCACCTAACCCAGGAGAGACAGGAAAGGCTTCCAGGAGAAAATAATACCCAAGCTGAGATTGAACAGATGGATAGAAGTAAGCCTGAGCATGGAGTGGGAGGAAAAGGAAGAAGGATTTCCAGGCAAGAGGAACAACAGGCGCCAAGAAAAGAGAAAAGGATGGCACGTTCCAAAATGGCTCCCCTCCAAGCATGGTGAGAGCAGGAATGCAGGACACATGAGAGAGACAAGGAAGAAGCTGTGCCGTAAGAGAGTCCAACAGGCCAAAGGAAGGAATCTGGATTATTATCATCAAGGACTAGGAGAAAATTAATAGATGTACAATAAAGGAGAGACATGAGAAGATATATCTTCAGAAAAACCAACCAGAAAGTAATGTGAAGAGAGCACAGTGTAGTAATCAAAAGCGGCAGTCCTGGTGCTAAGCAGACTTGGGTTGGAATCCTGGCACCACTCGTACTAGCTGTGTGGCCTTGCGCAAGGCATTTAACCACTGTAACAAAAGAGAAAGTAAAAATACCTATCTCATGAAGCTGGTATGAGGGCAAAGTAGTGCGGATAAAGCATGTAACACGGCGCCTGGTGCAGTACACCGTCAAGAAACGTCAGCCACCGTGAGGATGGCAGCGATGATGAGGATGATGGTGAGGGCGGTTATTAGTGTTGAGAATGAATTCAGAAGGACCAAGGCTGAGGCAGACGAACCAGTCAGAAGGCTGTTACGTTAACTGGACAGCAACAAAGGATCTGAACTAAGGCAGTGGGTGCAAAAATGAAGACGACGGGAAAGAGTCTAGTGACACTGAAAAGAGGAACTCCAGACAACTCGGTGACAACTGGATGTGACTAACGAGAGAGAGAAGTCCAGGATGAAGCCCAAATTCCATTTCAAGCAACTGGACTCATGTCTCTTATCTCCTCACATCTCCACAAAAGCATAGCCAACTGAGGTTATCAATGGCTTCCAGTGGCTAAATTCAGTGGCTAAATTCTTGCCCTCCCAGGAGCATTTAATGCTGCTCTCCACTAGCTCCTCAGCTTCTCGACTCAACAACCTCCTGGTTTCCCTCACCTCCCTCCTGTCGCTTTTTCGCAGTCTCCTCTGTCTCCGTCACTGAAGTCCTTAGGGCTCAGTCTTATCCCGCACCCTCCACCGCACCCCCCGGCCCACTCTCAACTCAGGTGATATGATTCACAGGACTTTAATCACCAAATACACGGGGGCAACTTGCAAATTTACTTCTCCAGCTCTTAACTCTCTTCTAAACTCCAGACCTGTATATCCAGCTGTCTCCTGGACACAAATCACCTCTGGGAAGTTGAAAAGGCCCCTGGAGCTCAACGTATTCAAAATCAAATTCATTACCTTCCTCTACAATCATGACGTATATAAGCCAGAAAACCCGGAGTATCACTGACACCTCTTTCTTCCTCAGTTTCCACTTTCAGTCTATCTGTGAGGCTTATCAATTCACTTCCTAAATGTCTCCTATGCCATCCACTTGCCCCCCTCCATCCCTTTCCCCAACAAGGCTCGCCCTAGCTGCTATAATCTATTTCTGGGCCCTGCAACCACCTTCAATGGTGCCCTCATATCCACATGGTCCCTGCTTCAATCCACTGTCCACCGTGCAGTCGGAATGATTTTCAAAAAGCAAACTTGGTCATGTCACCCCTTGCTGAAAATCCTTCAGCAGCTTCCCATTTCCTTTAACTAGGGCACACCAGGCTCCACGTGGCCTGGCCCTGTACGCCTTTCTCATAAAATGTTATGCCTCTCTCTTTGTTCTAGCTACTCGGGCTCTTTTTAGTCCTTGGCAAACACCAGCTCCATTTTTCCATGAGGACTTAAGTATGCTGCCTAAAAGGGCCTCTGTCCCTTTCCCTGTGTTATCTCGCATGCCTCTGGTAAATTTAAGCTCATGCTGCTTCCTCAGAGAAACAGCTCTGAGCCCCAGTAAGTAAAACCCACCTTTATATGCTCTCATGGCATCATGTGCCTTCCCTGAACGCACCATGACTGCAATTCCAGATCTGTTTCTATTACGGTCTGAGCAATGTCCATTTTAATGACTTGATCATAAAGTCAGAATAGGCAAGGACCCTGTCTGTTCGCTCACCATTGTAAACTCTGGGCCTAGAAGAGTTCCTGGCACATAGTAAGCACTCAATGAGTATTTACTGAAGGGATGAACAAAGAAAATAATAAACCAGAAGAAAATGATGCCCCTGAACCAAAGAAAGGTAAAAAGGGAGTGTTTGAAAGGGGCAAACAAAGACCCAGATGGGAAAACTTTAAATGATTCAACTGCTTCTAGACATCTTACCCTAAAGATCAGCTGAGGGAAGAAAACAAGGTACTAATACATTTTCTGAATGTTGTATTAATCTAACAGCAGTGCAGTTCAAATTGTATACAGTATTTTAGTTCAGTCACATTACTGAAGAATGGCCTACTCATTCTGTTTCCAAAAACAAGATATACCAGTGAAAAACCCTTTTTTTCCCCCTGATGAGCTAAAAGGAAGGATCTTAATAAAAGACACTAAAATTATGGATTACCTTCATCAATGTACCATGTGTTTTTTGATTTGGATTGTGGTTGTGAGTCAACAGAAGATCCATTTAAAGTATAAAAGAATTCAGATCTGTTTCTATTTCCAGGGTCTGAGGTAGATCCTATGGATCAAGAAAAGTTCCTTTTAAAAATAAAGTCAATATGGTGTGAAAGCTTTTCCCTAAGAGAAATTAACATGCATGCAGTGTTAACAATTGCTTAAGAAAGCAATAGATGTATACAAACACACTGTATTTTATTAGCATTTTCAACCATTTTGTCAATGTCAAAAAACTCTTCCACGAATCAATATAGGAGGGAAACAGGAGGAAGTTAAAAGAAGAGCCTGCTTTTTTTTTTTTTTAAAGACAAACTGCTTTTAAAAATTATTTCACTTTCTCTGACTTATTTCCAAGTGTCAGTATCACCATTCCCCAATTTCATGCGATGAACCTCTTGGCTTCCAAATTTAACCTATTATTTTAAAACCATTCCTTTCAGAAGATTATCTTCAAATGTTGTATACATAAATCAGCATACCAATTAAGTTTAAAAAATTTAAACAGTTTGGAATCTTTGTCATCAAATTCCTTGCTTCATTTCTTCATGCCTTTGAAATGTTCAAGCAGTATTATTTTTCCATATTAAATTAATTAACATAAAAAGAGTTAGTGTGGCCCTATCACAGACATTTCAAGACCCTACCCTGCCTCAGTACTAAGAGAACATGCTGTAGGTTAGAGCAGGGGGTTTCTAGAACCCATACAAAATCTGATTTTTTTTTTCCAATTTAAAGCAGATAACGCTATATTTTATGCTTATAGCTAAGATCCGCTACAAAACAAGTAATGCACATGTCTTCAGAAACTCTATAGGCTATTTATATTTAAGTGAGAATAACAAGTGTGAGCTATCTTATCTAGATCCATAAGTTAACATAAAAAATAACTATTACTTGTGTATCCTATTTAATCCTAAGTCTCCCAGGGTCCAAAGTCACATAAAATATGTCTCAAAATACAATTTCCTTTAAAATGAGCTGAAGTAGTTTTGTCCACCAGATAACTGAGGAAAAAATATTCTGCTCCTAACCCACATCTGAGTTAACAAACATTCTTACAGCTTTTTAAATGAGCTGTTTAGCTTGTGTAACCACCGTCCTTTAAAACTATGAAATATGTGGAAGCTAAAGAAAAAAAGCTAAGAACTTCACATGCATTGTGAGGGAGTTTTTGGAAGAGAGACAAAAATGTTTGCTTAGCAGTTTGGAATTTATCTTGTGCCACATTTTGTTAGCAAAATCCACATAATTACTCTCTATATACTTTACCCTCTATAACATTATCCAAATAAGGTGGTTTTGTACAGTTGCAACTCTAAACTTTATATACAAATGTTGCAGGTAGGGGGGTTCCAAAAACCAGTGATAGAAACCAACAAAAGACACAGGTCCTCCGGAAAGCTTTTCATCAACTTAAAAAAGGTTGGGAACTCTTGGCTTAACCAAGAGCATCTATAAAAAATTTTTAATGAGATACTAAAAACGTTTGGAAGAAGAGAACCTACATGTGCTTCGAATAAAACCTTTCAACCTTCTTTCAGTGCCATGGCAAATCAGATACCATGTTAATATCTATGAACTGTAGTCTCCTGACCCATACCTGTGGCCTTTGGTTTATTATGACTGGATGAAACTTTGTCCCCAACACCTCTTGACATAAAGGCAAGTTTGGGAGGCCTCCTTTCCTGTGTCACGCTATCTGAAACAGTAAACATATGTTTTAAGGATAAAAGCAAATTCTGACAGAAGAGAGAGAAACAAACAAACGATGACAACAGCAACCAAAAAAGTCTCTTTCCTACAAGACAGCAACATTTTCACAATAGTTTTACAAATGTTTAAAGGTCGACACAAGTACTGAGAGTTACTGGGAAAAAAATCAATGCTGTATTTCAGAATGTAATTACCATAAGAAAATAAAACCCAAATAGAATTCAGCTAAGTGTTATAACTTTTTGAAAATTTAGTCACTTTTTATCAGTATTATTTGATGTGTTGAAACACTACAGAGAAAACTCCATTGTCTTTTGTAAGAGTTCCCCAATGGGTATCCCAATGACACCCAGTGTGTTATGAAGTGTTCTACATTCAAATATTTCTAGAAGATGCTGAGATCAACAAAGGTAAACAAATTTCCTTAATGCAAAACACTAAATCCTTTAACATGCCAATGTGAACTGTGAATCTCTCAAAGAGGAATAAAGTAATCATTTTATAATATTTTTTGTCCCATTCTCTTTAGCATCTCAGATTAATGTATTTCATGGAACACAGTTTGGAAAAAATCTGGTCAGAAATATGGAGCAGTTTGAAAAATCATGTATGTTAAGAAACACTGATGAGTATACTAACATGTACACATATAAACAGGACAAATGCAGAGAACTATACACAGATTAATGGTGAAGAAAACCAGAGAAAAATACCAATATTTTTGAAGAAAACACTCCAAAACTTCTTTTTGGAATATAGGTGTAATAAATTAGGCAAAGTTGTTTTTTTACAGACCACTCTATACCTTAAAGGCCAACAACTTTCATAAGATATTCACAAATACTGATCAAGCAAATGTAGAAAGCCAATCTAGAAAGTTTTTCTCCTGGAAATTTCAACAACATATCTGTAAAGTCCAACATGACACTTAGGAATCATACCTGATAAAGCTGTGTCAGCAAAAACGATAACACCCACAGTGGATTTTTGAGAACAGAAAGAAAAAAATGGGAAAATTTTTACACTTTAAACATAAGAAAAAAGCCACTTTTTTAGAAAAAGAAAATAATACTGAATTAATTATATATAAATCATGCTTGGTAAGGTTTATAAATCATGGTTGGAGGGGGGAAAGATTTCAGTGTTAAACTAGATCTTACATGGGTCAGAATATGATCAAATGAAAAATTACTTTAATTCAAAAATTATACTAAGTAGCCATGACTTCAACCAAGTGATATAGTAAAAGCTGTTTACTGATACTCTGATGATGCCATTCGAGTGTCTCCAAGTACACAGGAGAGCTAATGTGAAAGTTAAAATCCCTCAGTCACTGCAAAAGTTCCCAAATGACACACATAAATGGACTAAAAAAAGTGAATTCCCACTGTTAACTGTAACTAGCAACATGTACGTCCATGTTCCAAAGATAAGCACATGCACACGAGACCCTACAGACATGACACAGTGAATGGTGACGGTCACAAACAAGCAAATGGTCTTAACTGAGGCAGCCCAGTGGAACCAGAGGGCCACATGGACGAGCCATTGGTGGCTGTTCTGCTGGGGTATAGGGGACACAGCACTGGAGTTGTAAACAGTGGTTATCTTCTGCCAAAGACTTTGCCTGAGAAAATGTCAAATACTGATTTTGAGGAATAGATCTATTCAGGTGAAGGGTCACGTGTCACATCTAACTTGCCCTCCAGCAATGACATGCCAAATACTGTTTCTCTGTCATTACTATGTTCATGATCCAAAACCAAAGCCTTCTACCTTAAATGAATTTTAGGAGATTACCATCTCAGGATGCCAAAGCAAGCACGGTATAAGGAAGTAAACAAGGAATTGATCCAGCAGGCAATTCTGTGAAATTCAAACAATTCTGCTTAAGAGATATTAAAGGAGATAGTGTGGTCTGTCCACCAAATGGCATGTACAAAAGTGTGCACAGCAGCCTCATTCAGAATAACCAAAAGCTGAAATAATCCATTCTAAGCAAATCTGTTCCTACAGCAGAGTACTACAGACTAATAAAAACAGAATAAACTACTGATGTGTACAACACAGAGACTGGGTTGAGTAAAAGAAACCAGGCGAAGAATATCCATTATATATACACACAGCAGGATGACATTCAAAATGATAAAAGTAGATATGTGTCCCTACAATAGCCAAAATAAGTGTCCATGAACAGATGAATGGACAAAGATCTGTTACACACACACACACACACACACACACAGGAATATTACTCAGCCATAAAAAAAGAATGAAATCCCCATGTGCAACAAAATGAACAGATCTAGACAGTATGACACTAAGTTAAGTTAGACAGGGAAAGAAGAATACTATATGATTTCATTTATGTGCAGAATCTAAAAAAGCCAAATAAAACGAACAAGAAACAGAGTCTTAGATACAGAGAACAAACTGGCAGTAGCCAGGGGCAAGGGGAAGTGGGCAGACAAAATAGGTAAAGGGGATTAAGAGGTACAAACTCCCAGTTATTAAAAAAAAAATCACAGAGATGTAATGTACAGCATAGAGAACAGAGTCAATAATACTGTAATAAATTTGTAGGGTGACAGATGGTAACTAGACCTATCATGGCAATCATTTTTTTGTAATGTATAAAAACACTGAATCGTTATCTTGTACAACTCAAACTAATGTAATATTCTATATCAATTATAATTCAATAAAACGTTATAAAGTAGGAGCTCATCCATCACTCCTATTAATTTAATCAGAAAAACAAAAATCTCTCAGAGAATCTTGGGTTGAAAATCATGACAATAAACTAATGAACAATAACAATCAAACCACAAGAAATGTCTGTGAATTCGAATGACCCATTAAATTGAGAAAAATGACTTAATTAATATACTGCTTAACATCATCAACCACGAGAGCATAATTCAGACCCAAATGAGAGTTTAATATCCACAGAGAAAGCTACTAGAGAAAATATAAGTTTACTTGGGTAAAATGAGGTATTATAAAACCAGATACCAACAGACTATACTTAACAACTACACAAAGATATCTATGAGGCAGGATTGCTGATAAAAATAAATGCCTTCCTTACATTTTAGACTATTTTATATGCAAATTTGTTGGGAAAAAAGCTAGAAGGTCCCATCAGATGACATTGGGGTTACATACTCAGATTTAGTGCTTCAAATTAACCTTCTGGGCTCTGTCTCTTATGAGCAGGAGTCCTGTCTATACAGAAAACATGCAAGGTGATTCAGACTGACAATCGATCTCTGTGGAAGGCCATCTTCCATTCTCTATCAGAATGTAAATACACATAGCCTTTGACCTCATAACTCTACTTCCAGGAAGTTACCTTTTTAAAAAATATCTTACGAATATTTGGTATGAATATGAGCAAAATACAGCCCACTTAAGTAGTCAGATGAGTACAGATGGCATGGTGTTGAGAGAGAGAAACAATATATGCAAAGACAGAATTAGTATCCAAAATGATCTGAAAATGTTGGAAGATTAGATAGCTCTGATGACATAAAATTTCACAGAGACAAAGGCAAAGTCCAGCTGAGACCCTCCAAATCAACTGTACAAGCACAGCTCAGAAGCAGACATATGCAAGAACAAAACTGGGGATTTAAGTCAAGAATAAGTACAGTATCTATTAATTTATTGATTTATAAATGCAAACATTTATCCATAATGCAAGCACGGCATTACCATGGTCTCTGGGAATACAATTCAGACTGTGACAGGGCTGTCCCCAAAATTTTTTGGTCAATTTTTTTTTTTTTGTCATTACCAACCATTGGCCCACATGTCAATTACAGTATTCCACTTCCCTCTAGATAACTGTTAAAGAACATCTCCAACAAACCAGGTCTTATTCAGAGTATCTGGAAATCATGCCATAGGAAAATGGCTAAAAGGACTCAAACTTTTTAGGATGGAGAACAGAAGATGAAGGTTCCAAAGACACTCAGCTTTTAATATCTAAGGGTTGTTGTAAGGAAGAAGAACTGGATTTTTCCCGTCTTAATCACCAGCTCCAAACTAGAATCAATGCATGAAGTTGTAGGAAAGTAGATCTAAGCACACATCATATAAGGAGTGCCTTTTTCACAATCAGATCCATCTAAAAAGAAATATTCTGATTTCCTTTAGGCGACAGTGACTCTTCTATCAAATGAATACACAGTTCTCTAAGAAGATATGGATAGTAAGACAGGAAGCTATCTTTTAGCTGCACTGGAACACATGCAAACCAATACATATACATGAAGGTATTCACTGAAGCCCTGTTTGTAAGAGCGAAAGATTGAAAACAACCTAAATGCCCATCCATAGGGAGCTGGTTAAAAAAACATGGTATATTCATAAAATTAAATACAATGCATAATTTAAACAAAAGATTAAGTATGCAATTCATAAACTGAATGAAATGAGGCCTAAGATCTATTATTATTAACTTACAACAACAGGTACAACTTCCACTTCTGGAAAGATGACTAGACATACTTTTTCCTATTCCTCCTCGTAAGTACAACTAAACATTCTGGACATAACATGCAAAACAAAAATCAGAAGACCCTGGAAGGTGCAGAGGAGAAGGCAGATGAGGTGGGAAGCTCCAGACCTAAGGAACAACACGGTGGAAAATTCCCTGGATTTTCTTCTTGCCTCATGTGCCCCTCTTAGAGCTGAAGAAGCCAGTAAACTGGAAATGCCAACGAGTACAGACAGAAGAAAGCCCCAACAAGTCACCTCTCTCTAGCCAAAGGATGAAAAAAGAGGAAACCCAGTAATACAGAAAAATATTAGATAATAATCATTTAGCATCAGCCAAACACCACAGAAAAAAACGGTGGCCCCACCCACTCCAAAAAAGGCCGAATGGGGAGCCTAGACTTCCTCTCATGTAAGGATGTCGGACGGAGAAAGCCAAGTCTGGAGCCACCACCTGTAAACCAAGTACTCCCACCTCCTTGGCGTCAGAGGAGAACACATGGAGAGCCCAGACTTCCGTCTCTGTCTACCTGCTGGGGTGGGACCAGAGGAGGTCTAGTGGAGAGTCAGAACTTTGACCATAGCCCAGCAGCGATGAGGCCATACTCATCACAGTGTCACTGGAGACCAACACACACCTCTGCCAAGCAGGAATGAGGAATTTCCGTCTTGGGTATCAACAGAGGCCAAGGGAGGCAAAGCTTCTGCTTCCACCTGGCAGTAACAAGGTGGCATGTGCCCCCCTCTTCCCTGGCCGGAGCAGTGTCAAAGAAAGCTGACTAAAAGTTGGCTCTAGATCTAGAGGATCTAAAGTCTCAAAACGTAATACCCAACTCCAGGTTTCAAACAAAAATCATGCATTATACTGAGAACCAGAAGATCCCAAGAAGAATTTTTTTTAAGATTTTATTTATTTATTTGACAGAGAGACAGAGCCAGCAAGCACAAGCAGGGGAAATGGCAGAGGGAGAAGGAGAAGCAGGATCCCCGCTGAGCAAGGAGCTGATGCAGCACTTGATCCCAGGACCCTGGGATCATGACCTGAGCCAAAGGCAGACGCTCAACCAACTGAGCCACCCAGGCATCCTTCAAGAAGAATTTGAAAAGATAGCTAATAAATGCCAACACTGAGATGACAGAAAGTTAGAATTATCTGACAAGGATTTTAAACAGCCATAATAAAAATGCTTTCAATAAGCAATTACAAACACCCTCAGAAAAAAAAATGATAGAACAGAAACCTCAACAAAGAAACAGAAAGTCTCAGCAAAGAAACGGAAAATATAAAGAAGAGTGAAATGGAAATCTTAGAACCGAAAAAAACAACAACCCAGATACAAAGTTTGGTGGATGAGCTCAGTAACAAAATGGAGGAAACATAGGAAATCGTGAGTGAACCTGAAGATAGAACAATACAAATTACCCAGTATGAACAACGCAGAGAAAA